TTGGAGCTAACTTTGTGGGTAGCCTTTTACAACATGAAGATCTACAATAGCATAAGGATCTGCATCAACACATCTTTCCTTAGATTTAAACAATAAGTCATAGGATTTTGAGGTTGTCTACCTAGTGCGACATAAATCCTCAACTCTTTCTTTAGGCCTTTGCACAACTATGTCGTGCAATTTAAGCCCTAACTCAACCAAGGATTCCGAGATTATCATTCATCATGACTTAAATCCTCATATCTTCCAAGCTATCTGTGCAGCCGTATCGCATGAATGTAAGCCCTAACTAATAAAAATCAGCATGATGAAATATTTGACAATTCTCTTCGAAGTTGGAGCCAAACCATAGGATAGTTTGGGAAGTCCATCGAGGTTCTCCTTAAGATACATGACATCCCCTAGTTCTTCTTCCTTTGGATTTCAAAATAAAATGTTCCAAATTTGAGTCATTCTCATTTCACACTTCTTTGTCCGATCTTTTGAAAAGTCCCATCCGTTGAAATTCTTAAAGATAATAACCCCTGACTTTTATCAAGAGTTTTTTTAGGTGACTTCAGTTATCTAAAATCTAATTAACTATAGGGGCTTGCACTTATAGGAAACTTTCAAGAACCTAGTTTAATAGAAACCCCATTTAATTTTTCATATTAAATAAGGGAACTTGTCGGTCAACATGGTCAACATTTGTCGGTCAACATAAAAAATGATTTTTTGCAGACTTAAATGGATGTCATAAATTCTTTAGTTTATTTAATTGAGCCTCACCAGTAAGTAGACCCTTTGGGATAGATACATTGCTTGTTGTATTAGGCTCGTTTATTTAAATTTTTTGAAAATAAAAAATGCTACTTTTCCAAAATTATATATATATATATACGTAAATTAAAACGTCCTTCCGTAGCGGACGATGGAATTTCAATTCCGGCTGCCTATATATATACATATTAAATTAAAACTGGACATCAGGATATTCATTCTGGCGACTGACAGACACATATTGAAAATGTAAATATTTACGTTACATTTCAATCTAGTTTTATGTTGATTTTTTGCTTTTGGAAGGTATTTGTGATGTATTTTGTAGGATTCAAGGAAGATAAATTATCTGAATTGAAGAACAAAAAAGAATGCCAAGTGATGGACTACACCATGGTGTCAGGATAGAGCACCTAAGTGCCCAAAGAGCTAAAATTTCTCAAAATACGGAGAAGGTGGGAAGTAAGCACCAATATAATAGTGCCTAGGTGTTAAATTCAGGCATCTAGGTGCCAAAATTGCTGGAATCATAAATCGTGTTGCAAGAAAGTTTCATATCAGAGCTTAGGAACTAGTTGAGACATTTTGTTGTTTTTTGGCAGTTCACAATCATCAATTCACTATAAAAGCCATCAATTTCTTTGCAGCAAATGCAATGGAGACTAGCCTATTCTATACACGTAAGGAGAAGGAGAAAAAGCTAGAGAAAGATATTAAACAATCAAGTGAGTGAGGTCACGAGATTAATTGTGAGTTTTAGTGTTTGTAATTGTTTTTTGTGCAATCATCAATCGTTTGTAGAAATACATATAAGTTTTTAGTTTTTGTGTATCCATAATTTTTTTTATCTGACAAATTCTTGTATTTTGAGGTTTCCTTTTAATGAAATTGGGATGTTGTTATTTACAAGCATGTGTAAGAGTAAAAATTTTATTCTTATTGAATTTGTATGTTGTAATGTTAGTTTGGATTTTCCATGTGTGATTCTCATTCCAATTCATATAAGGTGTTGATTTAACCTTTAAATCTTATATTACATTCGTCCTAGCCAGCTGAATTGCTAAAACTTGTTGTGATCTTTGAGTTTAAGAAGAAACATTAGTGGAAAAACTTGATTAACAAGCATTAGTTTAGGGGAATAATAGAATTGCCTCTTGGTCAATGCAATCTCTTAGGAAAAATGGATTTCTTGGTTAATCACTTGATTTATGACACTAAACATGTTTGTCAAACTTTCTTAGAAGTCGAAAGGGGAAAAGGAAGAATTTTGCTTTTGATTAACACATATCATTTAGACCACTCAATTAAACCTAAATTCTTGCGGAATCAATTCAAGAGATAATTTAATTACACTGGAAAACTCTCTTAAAACCCTCATCTCATTAGCATTTGTTTTAATACTTTGAAAATTAGGATAACTAAATTTACAAAATACCATAACTTTGTACCTACAGGCTAGATTCAAAACTAGTAGACTGAAACTTTTTCACCATGGAAATTCAATTGTTTCCTATAGAATCAATACACAGACTTTGTTTTGTATACTACTTTAACGATGCATATATATCTATGATTCACCAATGTATCATAGCATTTGGTTTGTAACACTGTTTTTACAGGTCCTCACAATACCTAATTATAAATGGACTAGACATTGTGTTCGTTGTTAACCAGGTATGTAAATTAATTTACTATCTCACCGAAGGTCATTTCTAGATACTCAGACGCATGCTTCAATATCTTAAGGGAACTCTAACACCCTTTACTAAAGGAAGATTACAACTCCATGCCTACTTAAATTTTGATTATCTAAGAGATGATCCACCAATGGATTTCGCATCTTGTTTGACAACACTTTAATATATTATAAGGTCCATCAATAGCTAATAATAGCGCACTTTTCCATGGAGATCAAATACAAAACACTCGCCGCTATTGCCATACCTACCATTTGGCTCAATAGGCTTTTTCAAGAATTTGTTGTTCCTCTTCTTGTAATGCCACCCACTTATACCTTTGCGCTAACCATTGACACAAATCCAATTCTTCATATCCAAATGAAGTTTATTAAAATAGATTTTCACTTCATTAAGTACCACAAATCTATTAAGATAATTAGGATTAACAACATAACCATACAGGATCAAGTTGTTGAAATCTTAACCAAAGACTTATCCGACACTAGATATTGTCAGCTCATATAAAAATTAAAAATCCAAGGCCCGAGTTCTTAATTTAAAGGTCCCTATTATACATATAATATAAAGGGTTGTTAAAACAACCAATACATACCACTACCTAATAAGTATAACAAACCTTACCAAACTCTACCTCCTGTTAGTTAGACCACTTCTCCTCTCTATATAACAAGCCATCCCTATATCCATTTTTTATAAGCACGTACAGAGAATCTGAAAAAAAAATAGTGATATCATTCTCACATTTTAATTTCTCTATTAAAATTTAAAATCACTTCGGTTTTGAGATCTAACTCAACTGTAAAATCATCACTACTTCAAATATAAATGCATTTTTACTAACATGTGAAATTAATATTCTAAATTAAAAATTCTATGGATAATATTAGTTTATGTTGTTTGATAATGAATTAAAATCACTACAATTCTCAAGGGGAAAAGCTACTTTAAATTCTGTACTTTTTTATGATTATCAAACCACCACAGAGTGTATGACATAAAGTTTTTGTAAAATATTTGCAGGCACAAAAAAAAAAGTGCTAATAAAGTCAAACAAAAATTTCTCCGAAGCATCAACATCATAAAAAATGACCATTGAGAAGGGTTGCGGTGATACAATTTTTTTTAATAAAAAATTATATTGTCACACTTAATTTGTTATTACCATTAAGAAACTGAGGAAAAGCTCTAAGCAATTCAATATTAATATTTTGTTTTGCAAGTAAGGATAAATGTAAAGATTGTGCATGCCCCCATTTAAATTTTTAATGTCCATATATATTTAGACAACATAACATGTACATGTATGCAAGCATCATAGCCATTCCCTGAACATCTCTTAAATTTGCAATTAGTTTTTTTCTTCTTTTTTTTTTTTTGAAGATTTACAGACATACCACTCAATTCCTATATATTTACATATCTAACAACTAAACTTCAAATTTTATGTATAAGACACTTCACCAATGCGCAAAAATGTATATTTCACTTTTTAAAACTCGAAATAGTGATATTATTTAAAACAATAGGAAATATAATTGGGGCGGTATAAATATAAAAAGTAAAGTTTGGGTTAGATACGTAAATCCCTGGGAATTGGGCGGTATGTATGTAAATGTCATTTTTTCATCTCAATACTAACATCTTTGTATGTAATATTACTACACAAGAAAAAAATTAAGAAAATATAAATGATAAATAGTTTTTATTTTAATAGAGAGTTTTACTCCTAGAAACTTACTGATTCAAATAAGAAAATTAATCTTTCTCATAAATTTTTTAATGGAAACTCTCAGGAAAATTCTTCAAAGTAGTTTCTTTCTTATAGAACCTAATAAGTCAAGTAGGTAATCACAATGAATGATTGCCCCACCAAAAAGGAACATGAAGGGAACAATCGATTTGAAGAAAGGGTGGCATGGGATTCTCCATGGAAATAAAACAAAAGCAAGTTATCAATGAGAGAAGATAAGCCTTTGTTGTGGCTCCCATTTCCAAAAAGAAACTACCTATGCCCTATTATGTTTTCTTCTTAGGGACCTCTCTCTCTCTCTCTCTCTCTCTCTCTCTTTTTTCCTTCTCTATCTCTCTCTTCTCTTTCTCTCTCTTTCTCTACTGCCCATCTTTCTGTAAATTCATTTGCAACATAACTCCATTCAAACCAAACTCTCTCTACTTCATAAATCTCCATTTAACATTCAATGCAACCATGTGATTTGTAATTTATTTTATCATTTACTTGAAAATATATTTTTTTTGTCATATATTTTGTTAATGCATCTACTCTCAACACGCGTGGAGAATCACTCAAGGATTCTTTTGGCTAAAATTGCAAATAGTAAATAAAAAACCTTTTTTAAAAGAAAAGTCAACTCTTTTAAGAACAATGAGATGCTTTTATGTTTTAAAATCAATATTATTAATTCTTACTTGCATCATCCAACTAAAAATTTTTCCATTGTTAATATGTTAATTCAATCCAAGCAATCAAATGAGCTCAAAACATGATTTTTTTTTAAGAAAACTATCTTTACTAAATTCACACATTCTCAAATCTACTTCATATATTAGCAAGAAATTGATGAACATCTATAATGATTATCTAAATCCCAATTATGTATCATCAATACTTACTATGTTGCAACTCGAGAGCATTACTACTCTCACACACATTTCTTCTCTCTTTCTCCAATCCATCCATAAATGTTATCAACCATCAAAAGACTTTCCATTTCCATTGCCATTTTTGCCTCTTGGCAAAAGAATTCTTCAAATTCTCAAGTCATCAAGTATTTTTAATCAGCTCGATCGAATTCTCTTATTTGCATCGGACCGCACTGTTCCAGGTGATGAATCTCTGTCGGAACAAGACTCCATCGACTTGGTGAAGGATGACGAGATGTCGGCGTAGAGATCGACGATGCGTTTGATATTGTTGTTCAGCTCTCTGATGAGCCTGACATTGCGGCTGAGCTTGTCGGGGATCTTTGATTCATGGTTCTGATTGATCTCTTGGATGAGGAGGCGATTGTGATCCAATATGTTCTGAACTTGAACAAAACTCTTCTGAAATGTCTGAATCACTTTGTTCTCAATTTGATTTCGTTTGCCAACTCCACATAATGTGTCTCCACCCTCCATTGTTGTGAGTTGAGGCTTTGTTTCTTATTTTGAGTTCTTCTTTAATGTAGTTAGAAAGGGAGCTGTGGAGAAAGTTGATCAGTGTTTATTTAGTTGAAATTACTTTGGGGAAGTTTTAACTGTATGTTATATGATTCAAAAAATCTTTTTGATTCATTTTGCTGCAGAATATCCAGACTTTTTTTTTTTTTTTTTTTTTTTTTTTTGCTCAAATATGACAATCCTCTTTCATTAGAATCTGTTTCATAAAAGGGGATAAAAAGTATGATAATATGATAAAATGATTAGTCCAAACTATTTCTTTTTTGACAAATGATATTAAAAAGGCAAGAATGAAAAGTTTGATCTTGTTTTAAATATCAAAAGGAGAGAGAGAGAGAGAGAGAGAGAGAGAGAGAGAGAGAGAGAAGAATCGGTAGTTTTATGGAGCATAATCATTAGAAACATAGAAACAAAAGTGGAGAACTGTGCTTCAATGCCTGGCATTCTTTCAGAGTTAACAGATAACAAATACAGTTTTTTTTCCCCCTAAACTATGTTTTCTTTCTTTTCGTTTTCCTAAGAGATTCAGAAGAAAAAAAAACATACCTTTTTTTTTTAAGAACTTTGAGCGAAATTAATCACAAATTTAATGAAAATGCCACAAAGCGTCAAACCTATAACTTTGACCATAGAAGCTTGAGCTCTCAACAACTAACATTCAATTTTCTACAAAAATTGTAATTTTAATGCCAATCCCTAAAAAAAAAGAAAAAGATGATTTTTTTTTCATATAAACAATGGAAGAAGAAATCTGATTCAGATATAAATGGAAAGATCTAACCTTTTCTGCATTTTTTCAGAGTCGACAAAAATAAAAAAACCACATCAGAAATCACACATTCATTCTACCAAATCTGAATTTTTAAAAAATAATCGCAATTCAATTACTGTTTTTTAATCTAATAAGAAGAAATTACAGAGCTGAAGAACCTTTCCGATCTATTATCTTCCAAAGAAACAACTGAAATGAGAACACTGAGCTCTCTCCATGAACTACATAACCAAGATGAGAAAACAAACAAAAAAAAAAGGATTTTGATGCCAAATTCCTCAAAAAGAACAAATATCCATTTTCCAGAAGAGATCCACACTGAAAAATTTTCCCAGAAAAATAGAAAAACGAATCAGAATTAAAAAAAAAAGTCTTTTTTTTTTTTCCTTACCTTGGAAATCTCAAACATTTCTCTGGGGTCGGGAGAGGAGGGAAGAAAGGAGATCTGTAAGAGGGGGTACTATTGGCTCCTGAAACCCAGAGATTTTAAAATAAAATAAAAATGGGATTTTTGCTGCGCTGGAAGAGCCAGCGGTGGCTTTTTTATTGCCAAGTATAGTTTATGCTCACCTAACGTGAGTTTAAGAAACCTACAATCGCACTATGTTGAGAGCAGAAAAAGAAAGTTATGTATGGAAGAACTTTGAGAAGATATTCTATTTATTCTTTATGGGATTGATCTGTACAATATGATACTTATTCTCTTTAATTACTTTTGTTTTGTTGATTATACTTAAATATTTTATTATTTTATTGTTTTATTATCCATTTCATGTTACATATCTTAATTGTGATGAATTTATGAGTAAATCAAAATCATGTAATTTTATACCATTTAAATGAAATATAACTATCACATTATTTCTCAAATTCATTTTTATGAAAATTGAATCACTGTATTCAAAATTAATTTTATTCTTATTAGTATTAAACTTATATACATATATTTTTTTTCTTATACATAAAATTAATTTTATGTTGATATGTATTTGAGCAGCAAAAAAGCACTCCAAAAATAAATATTCAAATATTATTATTATTATTATTATTATTATTATTATTATTAGTCTTTTGAATCAATAATTGCAATTCTCATCTTTTAAATATGAAGATTTTCGTCCAAATAAAAAGTTATGGGGAAATAATCAAAATCTAACAAATGAAATTATGACTATCGTTCAGACATTTTCTCCGCATCAGAATGTCCCGTGCTCGAACAATCATCAACCTAAAATATTAATAACAATAATAATCAAAATCTACCAATTTTATTTTATCATAAATATATTTAAAATTTAACATTTTAAATTACACTTAATTTTAAAATAACCTCTCTCTCTCTCTATATTGAAATTTTAGGGGCTGAATGGTGGGCTCCGGACACCGGAGGTTTCCGACAGAGCCTTCTCTTCGAGCAGCACGGGAATCTAGTGTGGCCACCCATGTGGCTGCCTCTAGGCCACAGATCCAAAATTGGCAACACCCAAGAGGGATACACAATGATCCGATAACATTCTTCTGCATCCGTTTGACTTGACTGAATCTACAGCCGTTGATACCAAATAATGACGTCATCTGAAGACGTGGAGGCTCCCAAGCCGTTAAACCTGACCGACGCAAGTAAGGAGCTATCGTGCACCGTAGTATACTGTACCTCGAGCTGTAATAAGCTTAAAGCTTTGAGGGTTTTATTGTAAATTGACGGCTTCAAATGCAAAGGGGCCGGACTAGAGTGGCCAATAGGAGAGCGCCATTAAGGATGCAGAGATTCTCTGTGTGGGGCCCGCTTCCGCCGTTTCGCAAACGCTCCATAATGCGGACAAAGAATACAGAAGCGGACTCCGGTCGGTTTCATATCCATTCAACTGACACGTGGCCGTGATATTAGTTTAATGTATAAATATGGCTAATAATCTTATCCCAACTTGATAATATATCATATAATCTTATTCTTAATTGTATTTTTGTGATTATGTATTCTTATAAGTCTTTCTTTCCTTTGTTTTTTTGATAGATTTTATCAATTTGGTTGTTTATACGTGGAGTTGTATTTGTTTGTTCTTATGATTTAGGGTTTAATAATAAAAAAAATTATTATTAGTTATTGATGAATAATAAATATTAAATTAAACTATTAATTATATAATGAAATTTTAGAAGTTACTGTAGTATTAAATTCAAATTAGAATAAAAAATAATTTTAAATATAAATTCAATAAATTAAAGTAAAAATAAATTTAATAGGTGCCGAAAAAAACAATAAAATATTTCTCACACAATTTTTGACCATCCCCTAATATGGCACCACGTGGCCTTTCTTATAAAAAAGTTTCCTCAGCTCAGCAACATGGGTTAGGAATAGATGGTGGCGTGTAAAACAATATATTGTGCTTAAATAGTGAGTAATAAACATCAAAGATGCAAGCAAGTCATTAATTAGGATTATTTACATACATACCGTGCATATCTATGTCTATCTCGTAAACATTCATATTTACATACATATCCGTCAAATTTTTAACACCACATAAAAAAAATTACTATCATAACTTCTCTAAAAGTGAAATACATATTTTTAATTCATAAATTAATGATTTCAACATGTTATAAGTGTAAATATCACATTGGCTTATGGTTGCGTTCAATGAAATTATCCCAGCTCAAATTTTAATGAGATCCGATTATCTGGAAGATAAAGAATATCGAACTAGGCATTCACCAAGACAGGCAGCACAATTCGAGTCATTTGTTCCCCAGCTAGGCATCCACCAAGACATCAATAATATAGTCGGCCGACAACATCCATCCAGCTGATTGACGAAGCTCGACGAAGTCCTACCAAGCCCAATTAGTCAAGCTAGAGAAAGCAAGGCCATGGGCCAACAAGAGCAAAAAACCTAGAATAACCTATACATCCCCTACTTAAGAAGGGGCATAAATATAACTTCATATATTATACCACCTTTGTCTATAAAATAGTGGATCATTTTATGAATAAAAGGTTAGACAATACCCTCATTACTGTGCACTCTCTCTCTCTCTTCCTCCCTTCTATACTGTATTTCTTGGATGTGATTTACAGGATAGTAGGATTCAACAGGTTGACCATTCATTTCTATAGGATAGGATGCATGTCTGCTGTTTTGATGGCTTCCTCTTACAATATTATCCTTTTCTTATACAACACCAGTGAGACATATGGGTCGAATATCCTCGACAAGTTTTGCCTTAAATTATTATTTGTCTTCTTCTATTTATCTTATATTTCTTATCGTTATTTTAATTTAATTATTTTGTCTTCACATATTGAGTTTTATCTTTTGCATTTTTTAAAGATGAAATTAACCATACAAAGGACTTTTTATTCGTCTTCATTATCTGTGAGTTCTAGTGATTTTTCATTTCTCTAATTGAGATCCATTTCTCTTCCTTTTTTGAGAATCTGCTTTCACCCCTTAGTTTTAGAACTATTATGCATTCTTGATCGCTTCATCAATGACCAACCTCCTTCTTGAACGTGAAGCAACAACTTCTTGTTCACTTCACTTTTAGTTGAGGTTTAGTCTCTTCCTTATAAGCCTAGGATCTAGCCATAAGACTTTCTTGTTGACTATTTCTAGAAGACTAGCACTTAGTAGTCGGTTCTAACCTCTAGCACTTAGTAGGTGGAGTCAATATAGGAGAGCTTAAGAATAGTCCCCAAAGGACTGTTTGGCTTTACGGTTAGCCTTGGGTGGTGTGGTCTTATTCATTCTTGCACACACACACTTGATACCCTCACCTGCACTCACAACCTCAACCCTAACCTATTCGTGCTTTGTTTGATCCCTTGCTCTTTTGGAAACTCATGTGGATGATCCCCTAAACCATTAACCCTAAGCTAGGGTTTGGCTAAAACTAGCACATGGAGGGTCCAAAATGGGAGCTCCCTTGGTTTCATGTCTCAAAATTGAGTAATTTTATGCTTGGCATCCTCAATTGATCTTATCCTACCCAAATACCCAATTTAGTCATTTGCCCCCAAACTTTCTCAAAACTACCAAATTGCTCCTAAAGCCCTGAATTTTCCCAAATTACCCAAGCTACCCAATTTTGTTCAAAAATCATTTCGAACTTTTTTAAACCACTGAAATTGCCCAAAACATTCCAAAATTTTCAAAATTACTAAATTACCCCTAACTTTCCCAAATTTACCAAAATGCCCTTAGTGGCCCAAATTTTCCTAAAACCTCCAAAAATCATTTCAAACACTTCCAAAACCAATTTTGACCACTTATGAAGTCCAATTTGACCAATTTTGACCAAAATCCCAATTTTGCCCTTTAAAGCCCAATTACCCCAAATCACCCCCAATTTCTTCCAATTTAACTTCAATATTCCTAAATTTTAATTCTAAATCAAAATTCATCATGCTCAAACCTAATTGAAACCAAATTTAAGCCCAATTGAACCCAATTTCAAACTTAAATTCCAACCCCACTTAAAATTCCCTTGTTTGACCATATGCTCAAATTCCCCCAAATTGGGCCCCATAACCAAACCAACTACCCCAATTTTGAGTTCCAAACTCTTCATAATATTCCCCTTGATCAATTTGAGCCCTCAATTGATCTTAACTTTAACTCAAACCACACCAAAATCCCACTTAAGTCAAAACCCCCAGTTTTTTCTTAAAGTCCAAATGTCACCAAATTGAACAACATAACTCCATAATTTCACATAACTCCATAATTTCATCAACTCAATTGATATCCAAAACTCTTCATCACAATCCATTGAACCAATTTGAATCATCAATTGAGCCAAATCAAAGCCCTAGCCCAATCCAAACCCAAGTCTAGACCAAATGCCTCAAAATTGATCAAAAGTCAAAGTCAACTAAATTGAACTTCCTAAATCAATTCAAAATCACCCAATTTCTTTTTAAAGCTTCTCATGACAATTATCTATTTTAATTTTATCAATAACTTGGCCCAAATCTTGACTCAAACCCAACCTAGACCCAAGTCCAAACCAAAACCCCAATTTTGAACCCAAGCCCCAAATTTGACCAAACTCATTCTAACTGACCAAACCATGGTCACCACAGCCAACATTGGAGCCCTAAGAACCAAGCTAGATCCACCAAGCACAACCTAGTTGAGCCATGGACCAAAAGTCCATTGAATTAAGGGGTTCCCTCCTAAAAATGGATAAAACAAATATAACTTTTCCATCAGCCATCAAACCACCCAACTAATCACCATTAAGTGTTCCTCTGGCTCCCCTGACTCATCTAACCACCAGCCTTGGCCTAGCGGCCAGCTAACTCGCTAGCCAAGAGAGCCATCTCCACCATACAAACCCAATTTGACCCATTCAATCTGTCTCAACCTGATTGGTCACTGACACATTTCTTCCCTCCACATAAGTAGCTAATTGCACCCATTGGCCATCCCTGGTGGCCCCTCTTTCCCCCTCTATTTAAACAACACCCCTCATGACCAAATAGAAAGAGTGCA